CTCTGGATTTTTCTGGACTGTCCGGGTGAACCTGGCTCGAGGGAAGCAACTGGAACTATACATTGTTGGTCAAGCAACTTGTGTGATCGCTGGCGCACTGAAGCACTGGGAGCAAAACATATCCCGGTATTCAAGATGCAAATGCAAATGGTGCAAAGATGTGCAAAGTTTAGATTCCATACATTCTTCGTTTCACAAACACTCCCTGAAATTAGATTAAATCATGGTGACGTGGATGGCATGAACCAAACACTGAGGAAGCTCCTTGTAGGCGCTGGGCCACAGAACTCTTTCCCACCTACACCCGGGACGATTCACATAGAACCTGATGGCATGGACCTTTGGAACATGATTTTCCTTTACAACCCATGGCTTTCAGCTTGTAACATGTGGGTCACACCGAAGATCAGCAACTTCCACGTCTCTGGGCTTCCCCGGCGTATTCGCGCATCACGAACTCGCGGCCCAGGCAATTGTCGCCCTCGCCGAAGGGGAAGCCGATGTACCGCAAGATGCTCTCCTTATCTCAGCGTCTGGAGGTCGAGGTCGAGGTCTCGCAGACGCGTCTGTCGAGCGAGTGACCACGGCCTGTGCAGGAGCTGTTCACCCAAGAAAGAGGATTCGTATCATAGACAGATCAACACCAGCCAAGACCGGTCAATGTATATTATCCAAGCACTGATGTTCAGTCCTACAGTCCCTACTGACTTCAGAACTGATTGTTCCCAAGTGAGAGGTTCCAAAACCCAAAGAATTGCGAGTGTATGCGAATGCTCATATGAGGTTTGAGGTGGGGGAAGATGAAAACGGTGAAGCAGGTCACGTAGAAGGGGAAGAAGTTGGTCCATGTTGGTCCAAGTTGCTTCCTTCTGCTTTCCTTGTCTACAGGTTCGTTCTATAGTTCATATATTGTAATTAATTGACATTAGTAAAAACATCCCCAGACCATGACCCACATGGGCCCGTCAAGCTTGCCGGGTCAAGCTTGCCGGACCAGTGACTGCTACTTGGAAAAACGGAACACCAGGGCTTCGTTGGGTCTGCGGCTTTGGTCTGAACCACTGGTGACTCTACCCCAAACACTCAGGACTGGGACTGCCGCCCCAGAAAGACCCCCTTGAAATCAACCACTCCTGGCCTGATTGGCAGTCCTATGGGTACTGGCCAGTAGCAGCGGACATTTGGGGAACTCCCTTCCACTCGGGCCCTGCGGCGAACCTCATCGCAGCCGGGGGTCTCGCAACAGCTAGACGTAACTCGATTTACTATGACTGGGATATATGATGATATATGGGTGTGGATCAAAACCGGGCTACCTGGATGACGGAATGGACTACTGAAGAGGTCAACCTACCAGGTTTTGCGGCTCTTGTTTTGACTCACAGCCATATAGTCTCCTCATGGCCTCCAAGGATCCATAGCACCCCACCAAATCTGATGTTTCAGCACCTCTCGCACGAACTCTTCCAGATCGCGGCTGTCCACGATCAGCTCCTTCATGCGGAGCGAAGGATCCACGAGGAACCTACATCTCTCCCGGTTGGACCGACAAGGAACCTCATTGCCCGAGAGAAACGTCGCAAAGACACCTCACCCAGACACTCCATGGGACTGCCATAGGACTGCCGATCAGTTGGGGTGGGCCATGAGGGGTCAATGGGGCGGCAGTCCGAACTGGCAGTCCCATTAGTCGTGTCTGGGTCATGGCCGGCCGGGCATTCTGTGTTTCTCTGGTCCGGTCACGTGGTCATGTCCGGTGCCCAACCTGAACGGACGCAACTCAGCTACTCGGATCCAACACAAGCTCGAGCCCAGTCCTTTTTGGCTGCTGGGTTCTAACTCACTTGAAACATCCGAGTCAGTGGCTTCAATCATGTTCAATCACATTTCCAAAGAGACCATCACCCAAATCACCTCTCTGTCGCCAAATCATAAGGTTGAACATGTGTCAACGAAACCCACGGACTCCAGATCACCTCTCTTTCGCCCTGTTAAATGGTTATAAACATCTTCAGAGAAACCACCCAAATCACATCGCTTTCGTTCAGTTAAAGGTTGAACATGTTCAGAGAAACCACCCAAATCACAGACATGCCTTGTTCCTTCTGTTCCTTTCTCGGCCGTTCCGCCCGACCTTGGATTCATGGCCCTCTTCATCCTCACGCTTCCACATCTGCACATACCGCTCCACCCGGCGGTAGAGCGACAAATAATGCACCGCCTACAGGCAGTGGATGAGGCATCCATGCGCAGATGAGGCTCAACATGACGGGCGGGCGGTCTTTTTATGACGGTTTTAATAGGATATGTTCTTCACGGATCTCTATCTACCTATTTTGTGGCAGTAGGCTACACATCATCTCATGTTCCCATCTATGTACATCAAACATAATCAAACTCTCCCACTAGCTAATTAAAAATCTAATCCATGAATCATTGACCATTGTATATATATATATACCTCAAGCTCAGCCGTTCACTCCATCTGCAATCGGCTCTTGCGGAGATTCCTCCACGAACCGGCGATGTCCAGGCCTTCCTCTTCATGGCCGTTCGCTCCACTACCCCGATGTCAGCTAAGAAGCTCATGAGACCCTCCTGGGCGGTTCGCTCCATCGGTCCGTCAATAGCAGAGCCAAGAGCTTGAGCCACTCGGAGGGAAGGATCGATGGTTGATCTGTGTGAAGATGTTAGTTCGATGCTCAATGGTTTCAGGCCAAAAAGCCCCGCCCCATGGGGCCTTTCTTAAGGAATGGCAGCCGAAGCTGGCAGGGAAGCAAGGCCCAAGTACTGGTCAAGCAAAACCTTGGTCAAGCTGATTTAAAAACAATGGGGAATCTATCGGGTGAAAGTTGCCCCTGATCATCGCCCCTCCTTCCGAAGAAAAACAATAAAACTGTGTGCGTGCCAAGTGGCTGTGTCTTCGACCCGGTTCAGGGTCAACTTTTGTCGCACCTCGCAGGTACTTCAGTCCACTGGAAGATCGAATCATCGTTCGGCGATTCTTGATTCCAAAGCATGTCCAGAGACCAGCAAGCCAAGGAACGCAAGGAAGGGCCGAACTTCGAGGTTTTTCGAGTTCAGGGCCTGAACTGCGCCTTTTGGGTTCCGGAACTCGACCAACCAATTCCCAGCTGCGCTCTTTTTTGCATGCGAGCATGCAGGTTCGACGCACGAGAAACGGGGCAACTGCGGGCCACGGGGCTAGGAATTTCGATGACCGTCCTCTTGTTGGGATTCCTCTCGTTGGCCCTGAGAATCCTGAAAGCACGGCCATTAAAGGTCTTCATGGGCGGCAGCTGCTTCCATTCAGAGTAGAGCTTCATGACATCAAACAATTGATGCCGTGAAAGATTGCGATCAGATTTTGAAAGGAACCCCGCTTTCATTAAGATGTCCACTATCATATTCTCTTGTTTGCGCAAAGTAATCCACATGCCTGAATGCGTATGGGAGAGAAATGCCGCTCGCAATTTCTGCTTCACGTTGTTGCCGTTGTCTGAGAGATGGGGTAGCAAATCCATCTTCCTTAAGAGGGTCGTGTTCGCCCCAGCATTTACAAAACACAAAATGGCCTCGGCTTCATCTGCATTTAAATCATTATCGAGATAGTGCAGCCGTTCTAGCGCCAAAGAAAGCAATTGTCCTGAATCTTGCAAAAGAAAGGGGCCACCACCCCGGAAGATACCACGAGCGGTTTTATTTCCATATGTCTGTCTCCCTGTCTTGGTGATTTTTGACAGGCTAGACATGGGCAAAAAAAATGCCATCTCTCCACGATATCGTGCCCAACCGTCCGATGTTGATTGAGCCATAACTTCTTGCACTGCCAGTGTTGAAAGCTGTCTTGGAAAAACGGTCAGCGACCCCAGCTCATTGACATACCAGAATTTGGCACAAGCTGGGGCCAAGTAGTCTGTGCCAGTGACACCGGAACGCGCATATCCCAAGTCTGCCAGAAAGCTCCTAACGGCTTCTGACACTTGCAGACTCTCAACACCTTCGTATGGATCTGTCAGTTGGACCGAGCCAGTCCCATCGCCATGAAGGGTGGCCCGGACCCTCGAGTGGGTGTCTTTGTTGATGGTCTTCAACTTCAGCACTTCAATACCTTTATCCTGGTATCTTGAAATTAGGGAAACTTTGTCCTCAGGGAGTAGCACTACAAAGCTAGCACTGCCCGTAACTGCACTGAGCTGTGTCAGGGTGTCAATGTAGCCCGCATCGTGGGTCAACAATGCGATGCAATCTATGTCGCTACGACGGGACAGCTGGTACATGGCTTTCACTATGGCTTCATCGTTGGGCTCTCGTGAATGCCTTCGGGATCGAGAAACTGGCTGGAAGCTGATGCCAGGCTCTTGCAGGAATTCAGCCCATCTCTTGTTGTCAGTGCGGCCGGGTGGTGCAAACACTGTTGTGTGGACTTCTTGGCTGTTTCGCTTCAATAAACTGTTTGCATCTCTAAGGAGTTCGATGCCATGAGAGTCTGCATCAACTAAAAGTTTGGTTTGCATCCTTGGTGATGCAGCCATCACCACACGGCGGCCACGATCACGTCTGCATCCAATACGCTGGCGCATCGCGCGCACTGCTAGCGAGCCGGCGATGAGGACAGGCAACAATTCAAACTGGGCAAACTCCCTCCCATGGGCCCCTGCGGGCGTGACAACTCGTGTTTGTGCTCTGGGTCCACGTTGGCCATGCACGCCATGCAGCGCGACAACGGCCACGACGGTCTCAGCCAGCACATTCATGGAGCGTGCGGTGCCCACCAAATCACCAAAAAATGCATGGAGCAAGCTTGAGCCTAGCTTGAGCCAAGCCAAGCATCCGGTCAGTGTCACAGCCAACCTTCTGACAAGTTGATCATTTTGTTCTCATTTCTTTAAAACTACATCACCCGCACGCCCTTCCAAAATACTTGGACACAGCTCATGACATCTCGTGACGAGCCGTTGCACACGTACACAACGAAGTGCTTTGTTTTGGAGCTCCGGTCAAAGCAAAGGCAAAGCTGCCGAGAGGTGCTCCAAGATGGGGCATCCTTGGGCGCAACTCATTGCGACTCTGGATGAACCCTCCCAAAGCCAGCTGTGAACAACCCCAAACCATCCAAATCTGAACCCGGACCGTGGCATGAATGTTTCGATGTACTGCATAGCAATGTAACAGGTGAATGCCAAGCTTGCTCAAGAACCAGGAACAGCGCCAGACTTTCCACAACATAAAAAACTCACCTGACCTAATCGCTCCTTTCTCTCCTTAAGAACAGGAGTTCAGGTTCCCCAGCTCAGGAAAGAGAGGAAACACCCAGTGCCACAGCAATTGCAGGAATTGAGATCGCAGGAATCAAATATTGGATTCTTTGTAGGAGAGCGGCGCAGTGGTTCGCGTGTTGGGTTCATAACATGTCATAACATATTATATGTGAGTGGAAAAACTTTACGAGGATGGTTTTGCTTTCTGCAGAGCGAAGCTTGTGGATTCTGATAACTCAAAACCCAAATAATATATATATAATATACACACACCCTAAACCAACATGTTCAGGCCTCTTAGATGATGAGGAAGCCCCTGACGGACGTTCCAAAATGGTACCTAAATTCCACAAGCATCCACAAGCTAACTTACTGTATCATAAGTATGTATAAGCAAGTAAGCAAAGTATTTAAGGCTATTTAAGGTAATGTTAAGTGAACTTATACAACTATGTTAAGCAAGTAAAATTTGCAAGTAAGTAGCAGAAGTATAGAACTCCCCTACGTATCAACAAACCGACCTAACCAACTTCAATAAGTACCCAAATATACCATATCTATATTATCTATACCTGCATGCCCACCTGTACCTGTACCCCACTCGCACCCCTTCTCTGACTTCCTTCACCCAGCAGCTCTGGCCCTTCTGCTCATTCAGCAGCTCTTGGAGCTCCGCGCGCAGCTGCAGCAGTGGCGCATCAGAACGCTGCAGCGTCCGGGCGTTGCGGTACGCTGCGGCTTCGACCAGGATCCAGGCACATGGGGCATGGAGACCTGGAAATTCCAGCAAAGTCACCCAGTGACTTGGTGGATGATGAGTGTGATGAGTGGGTTTCGCCGATTCCTCCGGGTTCATCTGGCTTCATCTACTACCGCCACTGGAGCACCAGCACCTCCATGTCGAACACCGCCCACTTCAGCCCCGGGGAAGTGTTTGGTGCTGGGATAAGGCGTCTGTCAGTAGACTTGTTCATAAGTCGGCCCAGGGAGAGTCGGCTTGGACCCCCCAAGTCTTGGTGCATTGGAAGAAACCTGGTGCACCAATCTGATGGCTGGCAGTTCTTCCAGAAGTTGAACACATGGACCACATGGAACTGGTTGAGGCTTCAGCAATGGAACTGCCTCCATTGCTGAGATGACAGGGTGTAGGTAGTACTGCCATGGAACTCCCTCCACATGCCAAGAGCTGGTAGTGGCAGGCGACCTACACCCTAGCCTGTGCTAAGTAAGGCATGCCTAGAGCATGCCCACAATGGATCACATGGACCAGTCTTGCTCATTCTCCCCGAAAGTCCTTGCTGATTGACCATAATTGACCCCGTTTCATGGTGAATTTGATCATTCCTCAAGCCTGTGATCCACCTCAAGCCTGTCACAAGCCTGTCTAGCCTGCCAACCTCAAGCCTGTGATCCACCTCATTTGCCTCAAGCCTGTCTATCAAAGCAAATGGGTTCAGATTCCACGGATGCTGCACCCCCACAGATGAATGGCTCTTCAGATTCCATGTCCTGGTCACCCGCGGTCACCCGTGGTCATCAGGCTCAGCTGTTGCAGCTCGACGGCTCCTGACAGCTCCTGACGGCTCAGGTCTGAGGTCCCCCACCCTCAGGTTGCTGCAACTCTTGCGCGCAAAGAGTCACCAAAAGCCTGCGAAGGAAGCTCCGTGAGCTCGGTCCACGTGCGAAGGAAGGTGAGTTGCCCGGTCCGTGCTCGCACAGCCAAGCGCCGGCGTTCCGCGGGTTCCGCGGCGCAGGAAGCGAACGGCGGAATCGAAATGAAGCCAAGAATTGAAGGCCCATGAGGCTGGCTACGGCGTCTCCGGAACGGAACAGGAGTTGAGATGGGTACCAGGGGGGTGGAACTGACCTTCGGATGTGGTAGCCCCGGAGGCCAAAGCTCAGGCCTACAACGATTAGACCGTCCGCAGGTCTTCAAGCCCGTCCGCCAAAGCCTGCTTCATCATGATCAGTGTTGTTTCTTGATGCTACCAGATGCCCCCAGTGTACCTGCAAGGTAAGGTCATAGTCATAGTTATATAAGGAGACTCAATCTATCTCAATCTGGTCCTTTCATTCAGGTCTCACCCTTCCAGAATTAATACCCCTGAAACCACCCCTCATGATCAACAAATATGGCAGTCCCATGTGTCGTGTCCGGGCGATATTTGCACACGAAGCGACCCCAGCCCCCTCGCCAAAGGCACTCGTAGGAGGCACTCTCCGCGCCAAACGGCGCAGCGTGCATCCAGGCGGCCACCAACAGCGCTGGGAAGTGGCGCGCTTCTTTCTCGTCTGCCCAGGGCGGTGGAGAAGAGATGGGAACGGATGAGACGCTGCCACGCGCGGGAAAGAACTGCCTCCCAGAACTCGAAAAAGTACGCCCCCAAAATTAATCAAAACGATCTTCTGGGAGCGAACCGCCGCTAAGGCCTCCAAAACGCATGCCCCAATTCTTTGGGAAACTGAGGGCCTTTTGGATCCTTTGGAGTCTCAATGGTTTGGGGAACCCCGTTGATGACTTAGACCCAAAGTCCTTCTCGGCTCCAGAGCCATCATCTTCGCCACAACAACTGGGAGTATGTGCACATGCGGTGTTCAGTTCGCTTTGCACACATGCAGCATAATTGGCTACGCCGTGGAGGCCGGGCCTTCTCCGGAGAATGGCTGCAAAACGTGCCAGCTGCTTGGGAGTGACGAGGGTGCTAGAGCCGAGTGCTTCAGAACCTAAGAGGTGACATATGGGTCACATGACGCGATCATCGAGGTGCTGATTTCCAAGCTGGCTGGTTGATGTTGGCAGTAGACGATGGGATGTGGGGTGGGCGTCAACTGGGAACCGTTTACGAGCCCACCTCCGCGTGGTGAAGGGTGCCTGTTTTTTTGGAACCTGGCAAGAGATCAGGCGATCCCATTAGGGCCGCTGCCCAACCAAAACCATCCGAAGTTGGTGGCGCCCAGGACGAGTGCATCGGTCCAAGTGGCAAAGACTTGAAAGACCTCGCGCCAAAAGTCATCACGAAGCACCTCGAGGGGTGCTCGGCTCCGTTGTTTTTGGGGCTCGGCGAATAAGCGAAGGTAGAGGCAGAGCGAGGGGAGAACGAGAGAGGTGTTTGTGTTGTGTTTTTCTCCGTGCGGTTTTGGCCAGAATCGCACCAGAGCCAAACATCTTCGGCTCTGAAAAGCCCAGAAATCTATCTGCCTGTCTGCCTAGTTTATCTTATATCCATCCCTGACTCCTGCTGGGACCCATCGGGGGAAGCCTTGGAAGATTTTGGAAGACATGTTGTTCCCAGATGTTCCCAGGAACTTTCAACAAGGAGCCCTCAGTGCCAGAAATAGAACAAGAATGGATACTAAGCTCTTCTGGCAAAGAGGTGGGGATGGGCCAAAACCTGGAGCCCTGGTCCGCTATGTAGCTTGACCTCCCAGGTAGGTCAACAAAGGTATCCTGGTGCCATGACCCACAGCCAGGTGAGATGAACATGAAAGTGTTCCTGCCTGGGTTCTGGAGCTTGAAAGCCTTCGGGCGCAAAGGTAGAAGAAGCCTTGGAGCACTTCCAGCATTTGCACTTCTCGCGGCACCGGAAGTTCATCAATTCCAGAACAAGGGCCTGATGGCTTTGACCAATTCACTCGGGTCGCCGGATAGGAAATTCGCACTGCGCGGTTTAGGGAGCAAAAAACGGACTCCGAACATGACCGCTTCAAAGACAGGTCACAATTGGCAAGTTCCTAGTCCTCTATACCCGGATCCTCCAACAAGTCACCACCTGCCATGTTGAGACTGAACATCTCATATTGAAGGCTGCAGGAGTAGAGCCAACCAGCAGGGGAAAGTAGCCAACCAGCTGGTCGCAATGCAGTTTCATAGGTATCTTCGCCTGAAACCCCTGAAGCCAGAGCCGGGTTGCATAATGCACGCGAAGGCAGCCCGGCTTGGCACACCTGAGGAAGCACCCAGCCAATCATCGGGTTCCGGTGATGTTAAAAAGAATCCCATCTAATCCAACGTCCCCAGCCTGCTGGCACAGTGGCCACACCAGGCTTTGAAAGGTCAAGTGCCTCCGGTCTGCCGGGCCATGGTCCTTCACTGGATGATCCATGTCCTGGATGAGGGAGCGCCACCGAAGGAGCCAGCGACCCAAAACCCTCCGAAGTGGCGGAATTTGGCCAAAGAAACTGTTTCACCGGCCGAGGGCCCGGAAACCGGCCATGGAGGGCCCAAGGATTCGAAGGGTGTTTCAAGAAAAGACATGAGCATGACATAGCGTATTCGCCTCCTAGAAGAACTGCTGTGGTGCCTGGCAATGTTGGCCAAATGAACACGTTCTAGAAGAGCGCCATCTTGGGGGTAGATATCAATGTACGATCCGCTTTTGAGTCTCATGGTTCGACCCGGATGTGTCGACTTCAGCTTGAACCAAAACTTGTAATAAAATGTAATAACCAGGACCTTCAGTACGTGACCTCTTTGGAGTCTCTGTTTGTGACCTCTTTAGGGACTAAGTGACCTCACTCTAGGATCTCAAAAGGTCACTTTGAAGGTCCTGGAAAGGATTGTTTCATTTTGTTTCTACCATTTCGATCTGGACCCGAGTCAGCTCCCCCGACAACTAGGGATTCCGAGCATTTCAGCATCCACAGCTGCACAAACTTAAAGGTTCCCTCTGACTCTCATCTTGACTGATTCATACACACACCCCTCATACAAAATACAGTAGTTGTCCATCTCCAGGCACTGGGGGCGGGGGTGTTCAATCAGTCAACAATCCGGGAATGATGTCCTTCTGGTGAACTGAGGGATCGATGGTCGATGCCAGGTACTATGTTTTGTCCTGCATTTGCTGCTGCACTTGAGGGTTTCTCTTTATGTGTGTTCTTTGCCCCTCCGAAGTCATGAAGCTTGAGCCTAGTCCGCCTGAGCTGACGAGAGTTGCTGGAGGGTCTCTTCTTCCCCTACGGTCTCTTCAACCCAAGACCCAGCGCCGGCCATGTCCGGCCGTCTGAGCTGGGTCCATCCGACCGGTCGAAGCGGTGAAGGTCCTGAAAGCCGGTCGAGGTGCTCACCTCAAGGGCGACCCCTGCTCGGTCAAGGCATCACGTGCGGAGCGGGGCCGGGGGGGGAAGGTCAGCTCTTCGAGCGTCAGAGGGGAAGGTCAGTTTCTTTTTCTTGCAGACACCGGGGGGGGTCAGTATATAAGTTCGGTGGTTTGCTTTTGGTTGCGGTGTGTTGTTCTTTCTATTTTTGTTGGGGGGGGAGGGTGGTGGTGGTCACTGAAAAACGAGACTTTCCCAAATCGGAACAACACCTGCCGTACCATGGTATCCGAATGCAGCACCTACAAAAACAGAACTGCCCCTTTTCTGAATTCAGATCGTCCTTGAAATGTTCCAGCGAGCGTGAGTGAGAATGAGAAGCCATGTGAGTGAGAGTGAGCGTCGGCGTGGGGGTGCGAGTGAGAGCGAGAGAGTCAGAGTGACAGTGGACGTAGTCAGCGTAAGAAAACACAGAGGGCAGATCTGCAAACTAAACGATCACACATCTGAGAATACAAACACCGGAACACGCAGCAAGTGAGCGAATCAGTGAGCGAGTGAGAATGAGTGAGAGTGTGACAATGAATGCAAGCGTGAGTGAAGGGAAGAATGCTTGTGAATGAGAGTGAGTATGGGCGTTATGAGTGCGAATGAGAGAGCAGAAGACCAAGGAGAGCACACATCTGAGAACACAGTCAGGTAGTGAATGTTTTGTGGATAGCTGCCTGCCAATGCGGGCTCGAGCTGGTGGCCGGCGGCATGCCGAAGGCTGTAAATAAGTTCGGTGGTTTGCTTTTGGTTGCAGTGTGTTGTTCTTTCTATTTTTGTTGGGGGGGGAGGGTGGTGGTGGTCACACTGGAAGTTTTCCTCCCAAAAGGATCTTGTGTTCCTAAATGTTTTGTTTTGGCAAGAATTTCTTTCTGGGTGTGAGAGAGAGAATCTTCAAGAAACGTTATGACGTTATCTATTGATCCTAACTAACCGTCAGAGAGCTTTAGAACCACACAAGTGAAGGTCATAAGCATGGCAGCATGGCTTCATCGCAAACGATCTTGCTTCACATCAATCGGGATGAACCAAGCACTGTTTTTTTCAACAAGTACCTCTCCAAGCTGAGTGCATTCAGGAAGTCAAACGTGCAATCCCGCCACTCCAGGAAAGCTGGGCCGCCACTAGAATGACCCCATACAAACCTTACTGTATGCACACACTCCCATCAAAACAGGGGATTTGCTGAGGGAAAATAAGGATTGCTGAAGCCCTCTCTGAGATCTTCCGGGCCCCCAGGCGAAGAAGTCCTTTATATACTTCCATGATACGTTTTGACTGAACCTATACCTTGTACCTTGGACCGGGGTGTGCCATGCCTCACACCATCCCAACCCAGCTGCTTGGGTCGCTTCGAAGCCCTGACCCCACCGAGCCACTGTCTCCATCAGCCACGCCGCCACCACGTTGGCCAGCTTGACCGCAGACACTTCGCCTATCCGGCGCGCTCCGCGCGAGCCGGAGGGCATCACCCGGACTGGAATATCTGCATCTAGCGTCAGGACCTGTAGCATGTAAGCATACATTGACATCTAGCACAAGATGCCTGGCACTCCTGAGCCTGCCTTGATTTTTCGGACACCTCCACGCGATCCGACGCTATGGAGAAGGCTTTTTGGCTGCCTTGAGGACTCTCAGTGGGCATCTGCAGCAGGGCGAGGGCCGCTTGTAATCTGGGCACCAGGAGCTCGCCTGCCACCGATCGCCCCCGCTCGGCGTCCCCGATCGCCGGGCAGCGCCGTGGGGGGATCCAGTCGTGCCGAACCTCAGGTACGGTGGGACTGGGGTGGGTGTCAGGGTCCAGGTGCCGTACCTGAGGGTCGGTACGTCTGGATTTCTAGGGATGGAATGTTTGAGTTGAAGAAGTTGCATTCACAAAAAGACAAGTAAAAGCGCTGGATCCTGGCCCAAAGGGCCCAAAGGTGCGAAAAAAACAGACCTGTCTCAATCTTCTTTGTATGTCCTCCCTGACAATAAAGGATCGTCGCTTGGCCTGGCTTCTCATGTTTGGTGGTTTCAACTCACTTGAACAAATTAGTCAGTAGGCTCAACAATCCCAAGTCAAAGCTGAAAAAAGGCATCTGAAACCACATCAACCACCCTGGCGTGTTCAGCTCCTCGCTTGAAACACCCGCTTCGTGGTTTGCGCCGAGCGAACGGCTTCCATGCTTCGGGAAGGTCCGGTGAATGAGTTCAGCTGGGTTCCATCGCTCCCGACTGCATGGCATGAGACCAACCCCCGGGTTCTTCCGGGCGTTCTCACCAACAAGCACGCCCGATCTGTTTGCCACATCTCAAACTTCAACATGAAGATTTACAAGCGTTGCTTTTCATTCACTTTCCCACACCCGCCTTTCTGGCAAAACCCCGGTATCTTTCGACACGCGCAACCGCTGTAGGTCTGGAGTCATCGCCGGCGCCTGCGTCTATGGGGCGGCCATGATCCTCCAGAATGGCCTCCAGAAGAGTCCACGTCGCAAGAACTGCGTCGGAAACATCCCAAACACGACACATGGGACTACCATAGGACTGCCGAGAAACGGCCAGGGGTGGTTGTTTCAGGGGTAATCATTAGTCGTGTCTGGGCATCACATCAAAGCCGTATGCGGTGACAGATCAGCGACCCTGACCATGTGAGGCGTGAGGCTCTTGAGATCCACACTTGTCTCACCGAGTGAGGTTTGATGACATGTCTAGCGCCGGGACTAGGGGCGCGATGGACCACATGTCAAGCCCCAGTCGGGGTGAGTCCAGGTGTATATCATTCTATGCCTTTTGTCCATGAACATCACAAACAAAACACACTGGATTCTGGAACCAAAGATTCTGTACCCATCAAACGTGTCAATGGATGGATGACCTGTGGCACTTGGCAGCCATCGGTGCCTCCAGCAGGAGCTGACAGCAGTCGTCGCTGAGAGCGTCGCCCTCGGTGCGCCGTGCTGAAGACCAACGGCCTAGCGCTGAAGTGATGGCCTGGATGAGGCGCATGCTCAGGCCTTAGACGGGCACATGCCCCGTGGCATGCCCCAGAAACAACACTTTATACTTTGAAATGGGGAAAGCATGGAGAATTAGCACGTGAACCCCCAACAAACCCATGGTAAATGGAAACGACTTGTGTGGGACCCTCCTCAAATCTAACACTGGTCAACTAGAGCTCGGAGATCGATTTCCAAACATCTTACTAAAATCTTGCATTGTTTTTCGTAAACGGAAAACAGAACAAAAAGAAAACCTACGTGTTCCGGCAAATTCTCCAGGCGCCAGGACTCAAGCCGGGGAAGAACCAAGGGCTCGCCCCCGGCCCAGGCTGCCAGCTGACAATGCGGAGTGCCACGGGACGTTACGTGCCCTCCCAAAAATTGTTCCGCTCTAGTGTTGTTCACATCCTGTTGCCCACACAGCGCCCTTTCGGACCCTTTCATCAAAAAATCCAACGTTAACATCGGGCAACCGTTGCCATATTCAATCATCCCACTCTGCAGAACACGCGGGTTCGTTGGGATGACGGCAGGACAGGCAACATAAATACAGGCCTGGCCCTCCCGTCTGCCGCACCTCCGCCACAGTAGTACGAGAGGCGCGGAAAATGAAAAACCATGGCAGCCGCCAAGGGCTGCGCCAGCGGCAACCTTGCCAGTGGAGGCGCCGACTCTCTGGCACCAGCGATGAACGGGACAAGCAGCGGCAACACGGCGGCCAAGAGATTCGCACACCTGGGGAGAAAGCTGGCCGCTGCCCTCTGCTTAGAAAACTGAAAGGTTCCCTTTCATTTAGGGTTTGGGGTTTAGGGCTTTAGGCAAAAGCATACCTCGTCACGGTTGAACGAGAGCAAACCACTTGAGCAGGAACGTTCGCAAGGCTTGCACGTCCAAGTTGCAGGCTGTGCGGCCTTGCCCTCTTGGCCAGCTGCAAGATCATAGACATCAGAAACGATGAAAACTCGGGGTATGAAGAGCCCAAATACCTGAAGGCAAGCTCCGAAGCTTTGGCCCACCCAAGCAATGAAAACAAGCAAAGAGGGAGTCCACATGCTGGGTCGCCTCCGGGCCCGCCGCGCGAGACCTTGGATGAGCTAGGTGGGCGGGCCACAGCTGTGCCAAACGTGGCACTTTTGCAGGTCCTTTTGGAGCTTTGCCTGCGAAGGAATCGAGCCACCTGCAACAAATCTATCCCTTTTCAGCTGCTGCGGCCCTCCTGCGTTGGCACAGGGGCAGTGGGTGCATCAGTCTGAAAGCTGCAAATGCTTCCATCCATACACCTCCTTCTGTGACGGCAACCAAGCAAAACCTGTGCGGTACCAGGTGAAGACGAGGCAAAAACAATTTGATAAACAACAGCGCGTGCTTGGACCTTGATGAAATCAACTGAAATCAAACGAAGTCCACTAAGTTCCCCCCCTTCGCTTTCAAGTCCAGGACCCGCGGACGTCGCAAAGGGGGTCAGGCCGGGCTGGTCCTAGCCAACACGTTGCATGAAATCAAAGCCAGAAACACCCCACCAGGAATCCCTGAATCCCAAAAATCCTTCAAACTGACTGGTGCTTTTGGTCTTTGCCTTTGCCATGAGGGTGTCTGACCCCCACAAAAGATATGACCTTATCCCTGAAAGTCAAAAAACTATTCAAAAAATCGTCTTTGGATGACCCGACAAGGAATTTCCTTTACTTGGGTGGTGCCAAAATCGTCTTTGGACTTCTAGGGTTGTGAAGCCCCGAAAAGGCCCGGACAGACCCGCAGCTCGCCACGCGAGGAGAATCGCTGTTCGAGATGAAACTGAACATCCACGGACTGCAAAGACTCAGGTCAAAAGCACGCGAATCGAAGGAACTGAACTCAAACATGTGTTTTCTTGGGATGCTTTAGGCCTTCAATCTGGATGCGTCGAACCCAACATGACCTAACATCACCTGATCTGAGTGAGTAATCCCAGAATCCCAGCTCCTGTTCAAAAGTGGTCAACAATGGTCAACCCTTTTGTTCTTCCCACCTCTGAAAAACATTCACAACGTGCTTTGCGGCACCGATAGACGGCTGCCTCTTGACGGAACAACCAAACAACCTCTGGTGTTCCAGATTTAAAGAATTCGCTTTGGGTGGGGAACGCTAGGCAAGCAGAAAGCGACTCACAAAAACAGGGAAATACATTTTGGGTGGGAAGATTGAACTCAACATCAAGCAGTTGCAAAGAAATCGCACACTAATCTTGAAATTTCTTAGAAACAACTCAGCTCTTGGTGAGATCAAGGAACCATTGGACATCGGACTACCTAATTGCGGGATTACTTGTCCAACTACACTTGCGCCGTCCTCCCACCGACAGCCCCCCCCTTGGGGAAATCGCAGGCACGACGGCCAGTGCAACCAACCCCTGCGGCTCGTGGTTAGACCCCCAAAACCCACCGCATCCATCTTCTCAGGAGGTAGGCCAGGGGCCCTAGGGAATGTGGTTCATTGGGAGCCACAATTGTGCCATGGGCCATGAACTTCCACCATTGGCCGACCAACAGCCGCTGGCGAGCATCTCTATGTTGAGCATTTTTGGGACTTACCAGCTAAGCGGCATGAACATCACCTACTGTTCAGGACGAAATGATCATAACTTCATGGTGAGTGGTCAGGATCCAAAGGCTAGCAACCAGAATATTCAGATCCCGCACTGATTGCTCGGCATTCTTCGTGGCATACGTCATGTCCCGGGTCGGGCGACCAAGCTCGGAACCCGGCGGCCCGGCGGGTTCAGCGCATCGAAGCGTCCGGACGCTGGACTCGACGCTTACAGTGCTTCACGGCTCGGCATGGCCGCCACCATCGTACAATCCCTAGGGGTCCAAGTACCTTCTCAGAAGGTGGGACTGGGGTGGTGCCAGGAGGGTCCAAGTGCCTTCTGAGAAGGTACTTGGATTTTTAGGGAATAATATCTCACAATTTGGCGTGCTAGAACTCATTTGCTGGAACTCATGATGTATATATGTATACTCCCTAAAGTCGGGAGTGGTCTAGGCTGTTGGAAGAGTCTGGATTCACGTCACTCGTGCGAGCTCGAAGCCGGTCGCACCACCAACGGTGTTTTCACACCGGTCGCACCCTGGTCGCCTTCAGTGTGAACCTGAAAACAAAGGTGTAGGGAATCCAGTCGTACCTTCTCAGGTACGGCACTTGGACCCTCCTGGCACCCACCCCAGTCCCACCGTACCTGAGAAGGTACGACTGGATCCCTAGGGAAGGTTGACCTGTTGTCGTCGTCTAGAATCCTTCGTAAAACCATGATGGCGGCTCGGTCAAGATCATGAAATCTGGGCCAGGAATCCTGCCCGGCTTCACACTCCAAGGTGGGTGATTATATATATATATATACCCTGGGAGTCAAAGACTATAAAAAGAATGGTCTTTAGGGGACCTGAAAGGGAAGTTCCTTTACTTCAGCCGGTCAAAATATAGTCGAACTGGACTTCTAGGGTCGGTATATAATATATACATATATATATATATATTTCTGAGAGACGAGGGTAGTGACAGCGAGGAAGTCCTTACACCGCTCATCTGGACGGGTTCTTCGCTGTTGGCCTGTTATGCCTTCCACTCAAGCTGCCACAGCATCTTTGGCCATGAAGTGACCTCAGTTGAGTCCAACGTCTTTTCGGACCCTCACGAGTCGTCCTGCCGAGACGCGCCCCGAATCCAACAAGGTCGGATGTATGGTCGATATACTAGAGGCTTTGGCTATCTTTGGCTTTAGGCTAGTCTCTATTATAATAGTTATCGTGTCAAGACATGTCAAGGACTTGGTTGGTTTCAGGATGGTTCAAACCTGGACGCCATAGTCGTGGATGATGATTTGATGGTTGGATTCGTACGGCCCGTTGGATTCGTAACATGGACGCCACCTGGTTACCACCTCACTTCGACTTTCGAGACCGATCTGAACACCATCGGTTGTCCCATCTAAAGCGGCTGTGGATCAGCAACCCGCAGCCAGGCCCGGATCACCCGGGCCTGGTTGACCAACACTTCCGAAGGGACGAGATTCCGCCAAAGGGACGAGAGTCCGCCAAAGGGACGAGAGTCCGAACCGTTCATGATTTGGAGGATCGCTATTTGATCAACGCTTCATCGAAAAGGACACAATTGCAAGTGTGTTTTTGGCTTCCGAAGCCGTGGATGTGTCGATCTACCTGGAACCATGCAGGTCAGGGGAACACCTGATGTTCAAAAAAATATCCCAAACAAGTTCAATAACCTGCAGATTAGCAAACAAAGCTGGCACCATCTGGGCCAAAAGCTACCTAGGTTCTGCGAACTGGATCCGAAGATCAGATCCCGGGTTTTTTTCGAAGGATCTGAGCAAGACAAATCCTCCCACCTCCGGCAATTTGGCAAGTTCCGAAGGTTTTGCTCCGAGACGCCCAAGCTTCAGCCATCCGATCGAGGTTCTCCACCCTCTGCAGCGCAGAACTGGTGGCGTGGTCTGAAGGGACTGGGAGCCCGGGTGGCGGCAGCGGCTGGAGGCCCAGCCTTGGAACGAGTTTGACGAAGTTTCGCCACTGTTGGCGGAGCGACACTCAAACACTCATCGGCTGGAGGTGCATATTTATCCATCGGCTGGGGTGGTTGAAAAGGAGTCAATGTATGCGTTGTTGTTGCTTTTCTTTTCCGATGATGTTCCCTGCATGGAGTCTCTTGGGAAAGGTTATGGGGTCCTGATTCCCCCAAACATGCGATCCAGTTTGAGCGTGAATCGGATGGGATGGGGTTTGACAACCCGTCCCGGTCCGCGGCTGTTCACATCACCCAGGAAGAGCTGCTGTTGGAAGAAAGGACAACCACCACCGCCACTTCAAGCCCAAACAATGAGATACGGAGTATAGATTGTATAGACTTCACTTGACCCTTCAGAGTCAAAATGAGGCAAAATGATGCTGGTTTGATTGAACGAAATTCACAATTTTACAAACCGTGTTGTTCTGACCCGTTAGCAACAACAATCAAGCCGATGTTTGTAGCTAAATTAAGTTCAAGTAGTACACCCTATCAATCAAAAGAATTCGCGAAAGGTTTTGTCAAAGGGTACGGCTGTTAACAAAAAATGCCTTTCAGTGCGTCCTAGGTTGCACAAATAGAGTACTCCCCAACTACAGTATATTGCAACAACAAACTGGCCTTCCTTCTTGACAATCATAAATTCTCTTTCTAGCAAGTCCTGACATAAAAAGTCTGTTCATTCCCCTTTCAACTCCTTTACTCCTCTTGGGGGGTTTTCGCCGAAATCACCCACTCATGTACAATCAGATGATGTCAGATTCTATGAGTTTGCTTTCGGCCGAAGAAAACAGGCGTCCACTTTGTAGAAAAGACGGTGAATTCTACCACATGCAGAGAATTCAGGCGGACACGAAGGAAATCACCGGCATCTTCGAAACGCCATGTGCCATGTGCGCTAGACGCTGCGCCCTCCCCTAGACGCTTGGCCACCGCACAGTCCGGACGATCGGACTCTACCATAACGCATGACCCAATCGGACAGTCAAAGACGCATGTCGATGACATGGACAAGCTCCAAAATGATGGAGAAGCGAGCTCCCAAAGAAGACTCTGGACAAAAAGAACCGTCATGTGGGATCGGGCCATGCACAAACATTCTATCCAGAGTCCAAGAAAAACTGATGACCACAAAGAATCAACAAACACATCAAAAAAGGAAAACATTAAAACACACACACACACATCCGGTCTCCGTCCTTCCACCTGAGTGGCAAGGACGCAGTCAGCGGCACTGAAAGTAAAGAGGCTGCTGTGGGGCAAAGCTCCTTGTCCGGAACCCCTGTGCCTCACTTGGCTTGGAAAATACGACGCGTCTTTCCTGGGTCGATCACCGTCTTCTCTGGGAACGAAAGAAAACACCAAGCGACCAAAGTCTGTGACGTCTTAAGGCGACCAGAGTGCCATTTGCTAAGGCTCCAGTCACACCTGCCAGGTGCCCGATGAAAGTGTCGTCTGCAGTCCCAGCACAGCACCAAAGAAGGTCTAGTACCCGCAGCGCGTGGCACAAGCCAGCAGTTGGTGAGAAGGGTTTCACCTGAATCGGCTTGACACTGGTGGAATCCGCTTGGTACAGTTCTGGGAGATGTTGAGATGTGAATTTCTTAGTTCATCCACGCTCACTCCCACCATTTGATCAGGCAACAGTTTACAAACATGTATGTGGTATCTATGTGGTCACCTGGTCAGACCTGAACTTGACTTCTGACAGGCGTAGACGAATCGTTTGCTGTTTGGCTGACTGGTGCTTAGCAGGGAATATGGGAATGGATACAGGGGTGGTTCATTCCCTCATTCCCTACTAAGCACGAGTCTGTTGGTCAGTGTGGATGTTACTTTTTGAACCCATCTCTTTGGACACTTCATGTGAAGATAAACAAGGCTCCCCCTGGGCCAGACCCTGTATTCCCGGAAGCAGTGACCACTCACTACCAGGATCCTGTTAAGATCTTGTTAAAGCATATTACTATTACACTCTAATAAGATCATGTATTAATATTGTTAGTGAACCACTAGCCAAACCCATAGCGTAAAACCTCCAAACCTATAGCTGCCCAAAGAAAGGCGCAAAGGAAGACAATTTTTTGCACACTCCCTGTGAGCCTTGAACTTGTTCAAAATCCCTAGCAACATTGGCAACATCTTCTGACTTAAGACTTAAGACTCCTTCCCTGAAAGGAATTTCAGGGGATCCTCGAAGTGTTATTCCTTGGCTTTGCAGAAGGTTATCCTCGTTCACATCTGCCCTGCTGCGCCAACGCTGCTGGACATGTCTACAAGGATGGGTTTGAAATAGTAGCTCTTTCAGAAAGAAGCTGTCCCAAAACCAAACCCACCCACCAGCGTCACCACAACAATAAACCCATCCAAAAGCTCACCACAATTCAGAAGCCAAACACCAAGAACAACTCACCCATAAGACCAAGACCATGACCAAGTATGATTCTTGAGCAAGGACTACGTAGTGCTTGACAAACGTGGTAGAAATTTGGAAATAAAAGGTCATTGGCCACTGACTCAACCACCTCAACCCCTACGACAGCAGCACTGCCGTGTCACCTCTGTCGGTTCCATCGCCGACTCCTGGTGCCGCAGCGCGGCCGCCGCTGCGGCGGCCACGTCTTCGCCCGGCAACGCGCCGGACGCAGCGCCCTGCGCCGCGGTGCGCGCGCGGGCGAGGGCCAAGTCCTGGTCGAAGCAGCGGTGGATGGATTCGGCGTGAATTCAGCCAAAGGCCTCACATTGAGCGGTTCATTCCCAGGTGTTCCGACAGCTGACCTGTGGATCTCCCTGCTCGGGAAGGCAGATGTGCATTCGAAACTCACGAAGAGTCTACGCATCTCTTCTCCCTCCCTCTCTCTCTATCTCTCTCTCTGCATCGACCTCTACTGCTCACCTCTTCCTCCTCCACCTGCTAAACCACCACGCTGAAACCCGGCCCTCCGCTCCTCCACCACCTCCAGCGCCGCCCACGCCAACCTCTCGAGGTGCTTGGGTGCCGCGTCGCTCGGGCCGCGCCCGGCCGCGAGCAAGGCCAGCACGTGCGCCAGGCGGAGGTTGATGGCATCGGCCAGTGGCCTCCGACGCTGACCGTGGGTGATTGATTTGAACACCATGGTGAGATGTTGATTTCAAACCATGCGTTTCCATGCACGTCACATGGATGATCTTATCTAAATAGCAGCTCTCAAAAAGCTTCTCAAACACATTTGCCTTCATCTCAAAGCTGCAAGAGTGGTTGTTGGCTCGCACGTTGTAGGAAAACATTTGGCGCCATGGAACTTGTCACTGAGACTACTGAGACTACTGCGACTCAAATGCCTCCTTTGAGCGCCCAAATGTTGGGGATTCTTGAGGTTCCAACCGGTGTTTGACACACATCTGTGGTGCACCCCTTTCTAGGGAACCCTAGCCCGGTGTATGCGCTGTTCTTCAGCCAACACCAGGGTGTAGGAGAACCCCTTCATTGATTCATGGTCATCCCTTATTTGATCCAAACCGTTTTGCTCTTTTAACCAGCTTTGCCATCTTTAGCTAGCTGTTGCAATGATGATCAATTATTAAATATGCATCTCTGATAGTTGAGCTTTGTCCAAGTGATTGGGGCAGTTCCAGGTCCAAAAGCAATGAATTTGGACCCAAATGCAACGAATACAACTTTGGTGTGGATCTTCTCGTCAAATCAACACTGCCCCGAAACAACTCAAAATAAATATAACCTCTCAAGGGGTGTCCACCAGCCCTGAACCAATGATCCATTTCCATCCATTTCTCCAGGCGCCCACAAAGGATGACCTCGAAGCTTTTCCTTCTTTTGAACCAGCATTGCTCCTCCCTTCAGGCACGCCTGTAAGGGCTACCATCCTCCACGATGATAGGGTACCTGAGGTGCCAACTCACGCGGAGCGCGAGGTGTCCTTTTATGCATTGCCCATCCATTTACTTCTTGGGAGTGGAATCATATGGAATCATACAGCTAAGCGGTTGATGTGGGCCTCAGCCGCGTTCGTACTTTGAAGCCAGCCCTCCAGTCGACTTACCCTAAGAGAGTGTGTGTGCTTCTGTCTTAATGTTTGACCTGAAAATGGACCCCCACTGGAGTACCAACTGGGATTGTCGAAGCTTCGTGTCCCTCGACCACTCCTCAAAACATGAGACTTTCCCCACCAGAATGCGGAAGTCCAAATCCACAGCAACGGACGATGTTGCGCCATCGGAGAAGGAGTGCATCGGACCACAGGGTGCCCCGAATCTGCAGGTGCACCCCCTTAGAGAAAAAAGAACCTCTCCCTCTACCAGCCTCTAACCACCTCCCAGAAGGTGTTCAGCTTCAAAAGAAGCTCCTCAGCTGCAGAGCTTTCCTTCCGATCCTTCCTTCGGCCCGGCAGCTGGGAGGTCCTTCGAGGTCCTTCGGCCCCGGCGCGGCCCTCAAGACCCAAGCGGCTCCTTCCGCTTCACCAGGCCGCTCAAAGTGCTGACCTGTGCGGCGGTCGGCTGGCTGCCCAGCTGGACGCCTTGCCTCAGCGGATGGAGTCAGGATAAGGCGCCACATCATGGGACGATGGTTTTTGTTAGATGTTTCTGGGTGTTGTTGATGTAGAACATTGTAGAACGAATCTCGGCAGTTCGATTCCAGTGGGATTGTGATTGATTTGTTTGGGCTTTTCACCTTCAAATCAAAGGCTTTTGCTTGAGGAATGGTGCAGAGATGGGAATATATATGACTCCTGACCCATGCTCCTGACGGAATTCTGCCTTTTCGCTCATGCATCATGCGTGAACATCAATTCATCATGCCTGGAAGATTCGGAACCAATCTTCCCCCATGGCTTTTGTCCACACATCCTCTGATGTAGGTTCACCTAAGAGGTTGGGTCAGGGTGATTGGTCTTGTTCAATTTATAGTTCCTTTTGGCACTTATGGGGATCCCTGAGATGACCCACGCACTCCACTCCATTCGGCCAAAGGGGGAAGCGCTCTCCGCTGGGGGCCTAGACCCGGTGTTTCAAGTGTCGTTCACTCAGAATGGGAACAACTCCTTGCTCCGGTGGCCGTGGCCGCACCACGGGGGGTGCAGCTCCAAAAGAAAAGCTCCAAACAAATAGGCCCTGCACCAACATCAGCTGGGTTTCAAGCTCTGCTCCAGTACAGCTGCCGCCCTTAGGCGGACCAAACCTGTCCACAAGCTGGCCAAGCGAATTCTCTATGACTTTGGTCTGAATGCAGCGAACCATAACAGAATCCAGGCTCCTTTTGGCACGAATTGGTTTTGGATTCTTTTTGAGGGGAAAGGTTGCGGACAAGACTGCTGCCCTCAACTATTCCCGGTCTGTTCAGGCTCTATTTGTCATGGCGGCATGAAATTCGCGCAAAACAGCAACCCCATTTTTGGGCGGACGATTGGGCGTCAAGTCAAGTTGGTTTGCAGAGACGATCGTGTCTTACATGTTTTGCGATGCCCGGGCCGCGTGAGAAAAGCGAAACCAAACCGAACCCATCCCCAAGGCCTGCTCCTTTTCAATAGGGTGCATGCAGAGCTGCCGTAGTCTTTAGAAGTTGGTTCGACCAGGAGCCAACCAGAAAATCCCAACTTTTGAGAGCAAAACCCTGAGATTTGAGCAAGTGATCGCCAGTGTCAGTGATCAAAACACAGAACTGGAGTTCAATTGTTGACCTTGTTTTCGGTGCACAACCTCGTCGACGAGTTCATGCTAAGACTGCACATGTTGCGAGTCAGTTCCCCGTGAACTGGGGATCAGCTGAAGTAAGGCACACCGTGCCACAACACTGCAAGCTAACATCCGAGAATCCAAGAACTAGAGCTGGCAGCTGGACCCTGCAACAGGTCACCCACCACATCATGTATTAGATCACAGTGTGTCCAACAATGGGACCTTCCGTGCGGATGGCCTCCAATACCCCCCCAGAAGCGGCTCCGCCTGGCTTGCTCTGGTCGGTCTTCCCCTTTACAGCACCCCGCGGCAAAGGCTCCGCTTGCATCCACGCACGCAAGCAGAAGTCCCACATCTCCGCGTCCGTCTCGCAGGTCTCCTCCGTCGAGGTCCCGCTGCTCTTAGGCGGGCGGGCGAAGGTGGCGCTTGTGCCCACGTGTTCTGACATGAATGATGCGTGGGGCGACACTGCGGACCTTGCATGAAGTATGTCCACATTTGAGAGGTCATGGAAAAACAGCTTCGTTGCTGTTTCGCGTGGACTCACTTCCCTGAGCAACGCACCACGTCAGGCCCGCAGAGGCCCAAGACATCAACGGCCCCACGAACACACCCTATGCCTGTTTCATTTGAGCAGTTTCAGGGAAGCACTGCTAAAAGGCTCTCACACATTATCACTTCATGCAGCCTGCTGTTCAATCAAGCCCACCTGAACAGTTCACCTCCAAAAAGGGCTCCAAAAGCAGCTACTCACGTGAGTTGTCTTCGTTGTTTTCATGAAACGTCCAATGGTGCAGCCAATTGCTTGGCCCATTTTGGCCGGCCTCGCCCCTGCCGTTCCACCTGAAAGCAAACTGCTGCGGAAACTGTTTGCTCACTGCGCGCGTTCGTCACTGCGCCACACGTTGGCGCTTTGACCTTTGGTCGACCACAAAGTTGGTTCCTTCAAAGGAATCAGGTCCTCAGGGTTTTCTGGGCAGTGAGAGGCACAGAATGTCTCTTGGTAATCTTTGGGACTATATGCCTCCTGACCACCTCACGGTCAAAAGTCTGCATGACAATTTGGCAGTGAATTTGGAAATTGGATGGCTGGGTGTATAAAGAAAACAGCATTGCTAACATATGCTATTCAATATGCTACACATAAATAAACTAAACATTGAAACACCTTACCCTTACATAACAAAGAAGGAACAACCATGTGCTCTTAGCTTTCTGAGGCTCCAATAAAGGTCACGGACTCTGGGATGGTCAGACTGACCAAGGACCTACAGCTTCGAAAGGCACCATGGTCGATGCAAGTGACGGAGTCTGGGATCGTCACCTTCGAGTGGCTGGCCAGGAATCAACTGGTAAAAAAGAGAGAGCAAACTGTATTATCCAAAAGGAGATCAGTTATTTACATCCATCTGCCTTGAACTGGCCAACAGAACGACTCTTTCCCCCAAAGGCAGGAATCGCCCATAGAGAAAACAACTCTATACGCATTAAAGCAAACCCAAGTCACACTAGTCAACGAGCTGCAGTTCCCAAAGGCATCAGGCCCAATGAAGTGCAAGGCGTCGGAGAAGGTCACTTCAGTCAGCGAGCTGCAATTGCTAAAGGCACTACTGCCAATCCGAACAACTGAGTCTGGGATTCTCAATGTTACCAACGCGCTGCATCCAGAGAAGGCATGTTCAGCAATGGAGCTGATCGACTTCGAAATGACCAGGCTTTCGAGCAAGCTGCAATTGGCGAATGCCAGGCGCCCAAGGCGGATCACGCTTTCTGGGAGTTGGAGGCTGGTCAGGGAGCTGCAGTTTCTGAAGGCACTGCACCCAATGCAGGTCACAGAATCATGGAGGGTCAAGCTGGCCAATGAGCTGCAATGGCTGAATGCACCAGGCCCAATGTCAATCACTGAAGCGGGGATTGTCAAGCTGGCCAAAGCGCTACAATTCCTGAAAGCATACTCGCCAATGTGTGTCACAGAGTCCGGGATGGATACCGTGACCAAGGATCTGCAGTTTTCCAACGAAAAGCGCTCAATGCTGCCAAGAGAGCTCGGAATTGACAAACTGGTCAAAGAACAGCAATTGCTGCAGAAGTACTCCCCAATGTGGATGACAGAGTTTGGGATGGTCAAGCCCACCAAGGAGCTGCAGTCTCTGAAGGCACCGTGCTCTATGCAAGTCACTGAGGTGGGGATGGTCAAGCTAGCCAAAGAGCTGCAGTTCCTGAAGGCTTCGATTCCAATGTAAGTGACAGAGTCGGGGATCGCCAGGCTTACCAACGCGGTGCAATTGCAGAAAGTGTTGCCCTCAATTCGTGTGATCGACTTGGACAGTGTCAAGTGAGTCAAAGAGCTGCAGTGACTGAACGCACTACGGCCGATACCCGTCACAGAGTCAGGCATATGCAAGCTTTCCATTGAGCTGCAATGCCTAAAGGCGTGTTCCCCGATAAAGGTCACAGAGTTAGGCATTGTCACGTCTGCCAATGAGCTGCAATTCCTGAAAGCATGCTCTCCAATTGAAGTGATAGAGTCCACTAGCGTCACTCGTGCCAGACGCCTGCAATTCTCAAAGGCGAAACGGCCAATAGTTAAAGTGGAAGCCGGGATGCTGACCACAAGCAGGTCCTCAACTTCCACACCAGATTGATGCCAGCTGCTGCATTCCACTGGCCTGATGCCTCAGTCGAGTCAGAAACATATCCTCTGGGAAAGCCGAAAGCGACTCGCGAGCATCTTTTTTTGGGCGGGTGTTGATCAAGTGCTCCGTTAGTTAGTTACTGTCAAGTCTAGTGACCCTACTGCCATATATAGTATAGAAATGTATATAATATATTCAAACTCACCACGTGTATCCACTTGCTGTTTCTAGACGCTATATTATCCTTCAATTTTGTTTCATGATTGCCTGTTGTGAAAGCACTCCTCCGGAGGCATCTTGCAGTTAATCAGCCAAAGTTGGCTTCAGCCAGCTGCAAACAAACAAACAGCTCAGGAAAGTCTCAAGGGTCAACTTTGGTCCAGGCAAGATGCTGAAGAGGACTTGCACTTCAGTCCCAGCGTTGATGCCCAACTCCGCCACAGTGGCTTCATCATCCTCCAGCTTGGAAACACCCAGCACCACTTCCTCACCATTCTTGCGCAACCCGAAGCCACCCAAAACACCGTCTTGTGAAGGGATGTCAAGGTCCATGCCCTTTGGCTACACGCTCTACGGTGTGTAGTGTTCCTTGCTTTTGGGTTCTTGGAGAATACGCACGCCGTCTGATTCATCCATTTCACTTCAACTTCATTCATTCACCTCTCCTTTTCATCACCGATTCACCCGTCCGGCCCCGTCCCCCGTCCCGAGCGTCTATGGTGGCCAACTGTCGGGTGAGCTGGTCGCACAGAATGGAACTCCGCAAATGGCGCTTCAACTCCTTGAGAGTGGCGTCCTCGGCAGAACCGGTGGATCAGTGCGAAGAGGTAGAAAAGCATGTGGTGCCCAAAATGGGTTTGACCGAAAGGGCTCTTGGGACAATAAAGGTGTATACGGGAAAATGGCAATCTATAAACTTGCCGTGGTTTGCTCATAGTCCCCAAACCTTGGATTTCTGATTTCATGCTGCATGAACTCAGGATGTTTACTGTTTGTTCTGCACAAAAACAATGCGTCCAATCCCTGCAATCTTGCATAATCTTGCATAATCTTGCTGACCATTGCGTCTCAAGTGTGGAGTCCCCTAGTTTGGGGAGGGCTGCGGAAGTTTTGTTTGGAGTCAACTCCTGTTGTCAATGCTATATAGGTCCGGAAATGCGCAGCGCCCACCAACAAAAACTCAACATAGCCCGGCCCAGCCTATCAATTTCAAGAGGGGTATCGCATTTTTGTTGCAAGCCCTATCGTTTTTTAGGGTTGATTTTGGGAATCAGCACTCCCAACATGAAGGCCTATAGCCACGCACCCGCAATGGCCGCTTCTTCTTAACTGATTTGTGACAAAGCGTTCGGTTTTCTGCTTCGCCTTGCTACTGAGGCCAAAGACCTGCCGTTTTGAGGCAAAAACAGGAAGGCAACATCTAAGGGAGCACAAAGGATACATATCTTTCTCAAAGGATATATCAAAATACCTATACAAAAGAACAGAACAAGTAAACACATATATCAGAACTATCCAATCCACGGTCTTGTATGGTGTTGTTGTTGTTGTTGTTGTTGTTGTTGTTGTTGTTGTTGTTGTTG